AGAAAGAAAAAATGGTGCAAAATGGCCTGAGCACAGATGAGGGACTTCCTGCCATAGATTCCGGAAAGCAGATCTCTGTGCCTCTGATAGCCTCAGTTTCCCCATAGGTCAAACTCAGTGGCAGCTTCTCCTAGAGGGCTCAAAAAATGGGAATTTGCAACTTCAAAAGTTTCTAATGTAATCAGATGGATAATGAAAAGGTTCTTCTTCCATAAACCTCGAGTGAGTCAGAGCTCTGTGCTTGGCTTGGCCCCAGGGAGTACCGAGAAAATGAAATATCGTCTGTGTCCTCATGACACCTAAACAAATGGTCAATTCCATGGGTCAGATACTAGCCAGAGGGGTTAAGAGGCATCTCCAGTGACGGAGAAAGAAGAGCAGCAAGGAAAGGACCAGTAGCAAAGGTTTCTTAGTAGGGTTCTGGTGCATAACTGTCATTAAGGCTAAGACCTGCTTTGTCTTATGGTGAGATATTTGTTTTGTCTCTGTAAAAGACTCCAGCAAATGACAACATGTCTGAAACCTGCAGAGATTTTGAACCTCTAAATCAGGCTCAATAAGCTCTTTCACATCTAGACACCTGAGTGAAGACCTAAATTCATAAATTTCATAATAAATATAAACCAACTCCGAGATTCAGATTTGCTCATTTTATTGTTTTTGCCAGGTCTTTAGCCACCATTTTAGGAAAGAAAAAAAAAAATGTCTGATGGGCTGTTTTCACATTGCAGCTGGTTACTGTGATTATATAGATACAACCTCTATCAATTCAATGATGTGTTGCTGGCTGTTCAATACTGGTGAATTTAATGCCTAGGGAAGTGGGAAATTGGCCACCACCATCAAAATGTGAACTTGGGATTTGTTCTTCATCCTTGCCCTCCCCCACATTGTTTGTTTTATGCTGATAGCCAGCCTTGTATCAATTTACTGGCATTCTCTTTGTCCTCTCACTTCCTACTGGGAGTTAACCAGTTCAAGAGAAGGGCCATCATCTTACATTGAAGATACATGGGACTGTGGGACCTGAGTGTGTCATCCTTCCCCACTGTGAAAGGTTGGGGGGCGTGGGGGGGGGCAGAGAAGTGCCCTACAGGACCCATTTTATCCAGCACAGAAAGTTAAATCACCTGGATCTTGTTCATGGTGACCCATACACAAAACAACAAAACCTTGCCCAGCCAGTCCTCCACCATCCCCATTGTTGGTTATAGATGGGATTGTTATGGTCCATAAGGCTGATTTTTGAGTGCAAATTCATTGACAGGTCTTCTTCCTAGTCCATCAGAGTCTGAAAATGCCCCTGATATCTGGAGCTTGCTAGAAGACTTCAAAAGATCATTCTGGTCAAAGCTCCTATCTCCATTCGGGACAAAGAACAGCCTCTCCTCTTCCTAAAGACTCCTGAAAGTGGACTGCCCAAAGTTCCTGATCTCAAATCACACTGTTTAAGAGCTCCTGGTCTCATGTGTGACTTCTCCCTGGGGCAGAGGAAGGAGGACTGCTGTATGAATCAGGGAACTGAGCCTGATAACTTGCCAATTAATTCCCTTTGCCTCATGGGCCACCTCTATGGGAAGATGGGTAAACGAGGGCTCTGAGAGATTTTGGAGATCTGAGTTTCTATAAACCTGTGTATCTCTTATTTTTAAATCTTCAAGTACAACTTAAGCTAGTTTATTGAGGTAGAGAGAGAAAAAAAATTTCAGGGCTGCCTCTATGTCAAGATTTCTTTACTTCAGAGAACTTGAAATTCTGAATTTAGAGCATTTGAGAGTCTGTGCATTTTGGTGGGAGAAGATCCCTGCCTTCATCAAAATCTAAAATAAATATTTGATTTCATTTTACTTAGATCCATAAACAACAGTCATGCAAGCATCAGTCAAGAAATCAAATGACACATTACATTAGGCTAAACTACTGCTAAAGACCTCTTTAAAGTGTTAAAGAGCAAAGATGTCACCTTGAGGGCTAAGGTGTGCCTAACCTAAGCCATGGTATCATCACCTCATATTTATATCAAAGCTGGACAATGCATTTGAATTATGGTGTTGGCAAAGAATACTGAGTCTACCATAGCCTTGCAGAATGAACACATCTGTTTTAGAAGAAGTACGGTTGCATTGCTCCTTGGAAGCAAGGATGGCAAGACTTGGTTTCTGGTACTTCAGAGATGTTGTCAGGAAGAACCAGTCCCTAGAGAAGGACAACAAGGAGCTCTGGTAGCATAGCGGTTATGAATCGGGCTGCAAACCTTAAGGCCAGCAGTTCGAAACTACCAGCCGCTCCGCGGGAGAAAGATGAGGCGTTCTGCTCCCGTAAAGAGTTACAGCCTCGGAAACCCTGTACAGGGTCGCTATGGGTAGGAACTGACTCGACGGCACTCAACAACAACAGAGAAGGACAACATGCTTGATAAAGTAGAGGGTCAGTGAAAAAGCAGAAGACCCCCCAATAAAATGGATTGGCATGTGGTGACAACAATTGGCTTAAAAATAACAACACTTGTGAGGATAGCACAAGACTGGACAGTGTTTTGTCCTGTTGTACATAGGGTGGTTACAAGCCGGTACTGACTCGACAATGCCTTCACCCAAAGGAAAAGACGCTAAGAACCTAGATTGAGGACCTCAGATGTAAATCACCCTTAAGGTCCTTTTCATTCCCTACCCCTGCAACTCAGGTGATAGTGATTGCTAAGGACAGGGTGCTGGAAGACCAAGATGCAGGGATGGGGACAGGAGTGGAGGAAGTATCGGGCTTTGCTCTTCTAACTCCCCCAGTCATTGCCCATAGCTTTGCCACATGTCTGTTTGCCATTTGACTTCAGGAGTATAATAACTTTCTCTGAACCATAGTTTTCTCAACTGTTGTTGATGGTGCGTGGTTATTCTTTTTCAAAAAATTGTTATGAAAAGTAAAAGATGAGTACATGCTCACCTATCAGTTGTTGTTGTCAGTTGCCATCGAGTTGGTACTGACCCATAGCGACCCTGTGCACAGCAGAACAAAACACTGCCCAATCCTGGGCCAACCTCACTATTGTTGCCACACTTGAGTCCACTGATGCTGCCACTTGGCCAATCCATCTCGTTGGAGGTCTTCCTCTTTTTCTCTGACCCTCCACCTTACCAAACATGATGTCCTTCTCCAGGGATTGCTCTCTCTATCAGCAGAGCTTAGTAAATGTGAGCTCGCTCCCACCAGTAGTGCAGGCTCCATAATTAACTGTTGGAAGATAGGTCCATCTATAAATCATTCCATCCCCTATCTTGACCCTGGGGCATAAGGGGGAATGTGGCGCTTCAGTGGTTATATGCTCAACTTTGGAATAGACTTGTAGTTGCTTTCAATTCTCAGTTCTTCTACTTGATGGCTGTGCAGCTTAGGCAAAGAGTTCAACTTCCCTGTGCCTCAGTGGCCTATCCACCAAATGGAAATGAAGATAATAATAGGTTTCTCTCTCCTAGGGTCTTAAGGAAATGCAAAATGAACTTAGCACAGTGTCTAGGACATAAGAACTGTAGAGTAAATGTTAACTAACATAAGGCTTTCCTCTACTTTTTGAGGCCATCCTTTCACTCCTAGGATGTTCCCAGGTAAAACAAACACTTAACTCACTCTGGCGCTAATGAAAAGACTGGAGGTCCGGGAGTCCACCCTGAAACACCTTGGAGAAAGGTCTAGCAATCTTTCTCAGAAAACTCTATAGAGCACAGTTCTTTCTATTCTGACACACATTAGGGTGCAATGAGTTGGTGTTGACTCAGTGGCTACTGGCAACCTTCGCTCTTAAGCACCATTCACCTGCCTCTGGGAGTGTGTCATTGTAGCTGAATGTGCAACACAGACATCAGTCAGAAAGAAGAAAGCAAATCAACGGGCAACCAAGAGCCCCCAAGTCCCTTCCCCTGGTGCTTGAAGGTCTCTGACCCACCTGCCCAGATAGAGAACCAACTCATTACCTCATTTGCTTCAGATATGACTCAAATATCATCCCTTCCATGGTTTTCCCCACACATGCTCTCCATTTCCACCTCACTGCTTCACTTTCTTTGCAGCACCTGTCACCAGAGGACACACCTCATAGCTTCCTTTGTTATTTGTTTGTCCTCTGTGCCCTCCATTCGAATGTAAGCTCCTCAAAGGCAGGCAGTTGTCTGCTTTGTTCAGTTGCTATGCCCACAGTGCCTGGAACAGAACCTTTGACATGCAGTAGATACTCAGTAACAATCTGTTAATGAATAGATGAGTCAGTGAACGGATGCATGGATGCATGCATGGATGCATGGATAGACAGATGAATGAAAACCTTAAGGCTTTATTATGAGGCCAGAGAGCTTTCTGGTGGGAGAAAAGTGGGTTTCAACGTTGACTCAAATTCCTTTCAGTCTAACCCTAGAATTCCTTCTCTTTGTTTTAGGTGCCAGAAAAGTCGCACACCTCCCAAAGTCTCCTGGCTTACTCCAGGTGCCTCCTATTAGAGGTAAGCACCCTTCCCCCCATTTAGAAACTGATGAGTGACTAGGAGGGAAAACAATCCCAGCGGGCCACCTTGGGCTGGAGAGAGGGGATCTCCCTACGACCAGGGTCGTTCCTCCACCCTCGAAGGGCTGTTTCTGGGGGCGGCGGGGCGCGGCCGACCTCCGACTGACCATGCTGGCGGCGTCGGGGCTGCGGCGCCTTTGCTGGACCCGCATTGCCCCCTAGTGCCGCGCGGAGTCAGGGCGCCGGGCTCCCCCGCCTGATGTCACCACCGTGCAGTCAGCCCAGAGGCGGCTCATTGAAAGCAGACCCTCCTCGGCGCAGGGCGGAGGAGGCGCCGCTGTCCGCAGAGCCGCCGCGGGCCGGGCCGCCCCCTCCTCCCCGTGCTCCCCAGCCAGCCCGGCCTGGCGCGCCTGACGTGGACCATTAAACTTGGAGCTGCCGCCTCGTCCCCTCTCTCCTCTTCTCATCCTCCTCCCTCTGACAGGCGAGCAGGCTAGCGAGCGGCTCGGTGCAGGCAGGAGACGTGCGGCCAGGCAGGGCTGCCCGGGGGAGATGACTTCTGGCCAGGAGGGCGCCTCTGGGAAGCAGACCACGATAGCAGCAAAGTTTCAGGGCAGCTGAGGAGCCTTCACTGCAGCCCTTCCAGCCCAATCACCCCCCTGGCTATGGAGGGCGGACTCTAAAATGAATCCCAACCTGGACACCGGCCACAATACATCAGCACCTGCCCACTGGGGAGAGTTGAAAAATGCCAACTTCACTGGCCCCAACCAGACCTCGAGCAACTCCACACTGCCCCAGCTGGACATCACCAGGGCCATCTCGGTGGGCCTGGTGCTGGGCGCCTTCATTCTCTTTGCCATCGTGGGCAACATCCTCGTCATCTTGTCTGTGGCCTGCAACCGGCACCTACGGACGCCCACCAACTATTTCATAGTCAACCTGGCAATCGCTGACCTGCTATTAAGCTTCACCGTCCTGCCCTTCTCAGCTACCCTGGAGGTGCTTGGTTATTGGGTGCTGGGGCGGATCTTCTGTGACATCTGGGCAGCCGTGGACGTCTTGTGTTGCACAGCCTCCATTCTTAGCCTGTGCGCCATCTCCATCGATCGCTACATTGGGGTACGCTACTCTCTGCAGTATCCCACGCTGGTCACCCGCAGGAAGGCCATCTTGGCACTCCTGAGTGTCTGGGTGTTGTCCACGGTCATCTCCATTGGCCCTCTTCTTGGATGGAAGGAGCCGGCACCCAACGATGACAAGGAATGCGGGGTCACAGAGGAACCCTTCTATGCCCTCTTCTCCTCCCTGGGTTCCTTCTACATCCCTCTGGCGGTCATTCTGGTCATGTACTGCCGGGTCTACATCGTTGCTAAGAGGACCACCAAGAACCTAGAGGCGGGTGTCATGAAGGAGATGTCCAACTCCAAGGAGCTGACCCTGAGGATTCACTCCAAGAACTTTCATGAGGACACCCTCAGCAGTACCAGGGCCAAAGGCCACAACCCCAGGAGTTCCATAGCTGTCAAACTTTTTAAATTCTCCAGGGAAAAGAAAGCAGCCAAGACCTTGGGCATAGTGGTCGGTATGTTCATCTTGTGTTGGCTACCCTTCTTCATCGCTCTACCACTTGGTAAGTTGGGAACTAGTAGAGGGGAACTGAGCATTTGGGGATCTTGGGTTTACTGATGAGCTTAAAGTTTTGTATATGTGTGTGTGATTTGGTTTTTAGATTTTTTATTTTTAAATAATGCAGTCTGTATGTGTTTAGAGATTGGATAATATTGTTTGTTCTGCAAAGGCTTTGCAGATTGAGTAACTGGCTATGGACCAACTCAGGTGTTAGTGAAGCACACTAAGGTACGATTAGCCGCTTGAAATAGAACCATGGGAAGAAAATCTGGTATAGGGGATGACTCATTCATCGGCTTCAGTTTAATAATTAAAAAGGACACTGGGCTTGAACATCACACCAGCGTTCTTTCAGTAGTAATGATATGTCTGCTAAGGCAGCGTCACTAATGCAGCATACAAAATAGTTTGTAGCTACTGCAGACGCGGCATTCAGGAAGCAGAGAGGCAGCTCGTACACAGAAAGGCGGTTTTCATTCAGCATTTCCAGAGCTCTTGCAGAGACCCACGCTTCTCAACAGCTTTGCAGAGGCGGCGGTCTCCCCCTCCTGCCTTTACCACTTGCTATCACCTCATTGCACTCTCTTCATTATTACTTAATAAGAGTATTTTACAAACACACAGCCTTTATAAAGAGAAGATGAGAAGATGACCAGAGTCACACATTACCAGTTTTAATCCAGAAATGTTCCTTACTCTAACAATTTATGGAATGCCTCAGAATTAAATTATAGTTGCCAGATCCAAAATGCTGGTAAGATGGAATTAGGTGGATCCCTCCCCTCTATTAAAGAATGTGTCCGTCATCTTTCGCTTGGTGTTCCTACTCACCGAATGGTTCAAAAGGTTTCCTAAAATCTTCTAAGGAAGCCAAGGTCTGGTTAGGAGATAAACGTAGAGGAAGGTACTATAACATGCTGTCTGTAGGGCTTAGGAAGCCCTACTCCCTTCTCTGAGGCTTTGGTCTGCTTTGGTGTCTCCTCATATCCCTGGGGACACAACAGAAAATGAATGGAGGGAAGTGATGATGGCACATTTGTATGCCATGATAGGGGGAGAGGTAACAGCTGCTACATGCCCTAGTCTTATTCCTACAGTCACACCAGGGTCTCAGCCAGAACTGAATGGAACCAAATCCCTCAAGTAACTAGAATTCTGAAGACTTACTGCTCTCAAGAGAGACAAATAGAAAGAAAGCAAATTATTATCAAAAGGTCCCCTTTTTTCAAAAGGTGGGTGGGGAAAGGCTGTTTAACCTACTCTCTGCGTCCTCTTTTCTAAGGAAAGCTTGCAAGCTAATTGCTTTTCTGAATTTTTTTTTTTTTTTCAATAGTGTTACATAGGAAAGGCTTTGAAGTTCTACCCCTGAGGAGGGACCAAATCCCACTGCATAGAAGCTGTCTTTTCTTTCCCAAGCTTTCTGTGTCCTTCTGCAGATTTGTTGGGATTATAGCAGATAAAAGTTCACAATGAGTTGGGGCCATTACAGAGGTCATGTGTGTACACAGAAGTGATTTGGGCCAGGAGTAAAAAGTGATTATGACCTTGGGCAAATGACTGCTCATTTATGAGCCTCAGTTTCTTCATCTGCAAAATGGGGCTAATTCATAATTCGCTTCATGGGATTTGCACTGATGCATGGAAAGCCTTAGTACAGTGTCTGGTAGGCAGCAAATGCTCACTGAAATTTACATATGATAAACCAAACCCCAGTCATCCCTAGGGTATAACTCTGTTTTCTCCTTCTCCACCAATTTATCAAAACCACCATCTATTACTAAAGATTCTGAAGAGAATCAGGTGTTTCCCGTTGCCCCTACTCTCTAGCCTACAGAGGCTCTGACTAGAGGATCCTTAGGAAAGACAAGGAACCAGAAGGATGCCATAGATCAAAGGAGCAGGCTTTGGAGTAGAGGGCCAGAGACACTGCTTCAAACAGGTGAGGAGACCTCCAGCATGTTGCAATGGAAAGAGCAGTGTTCTGGCAGCCAAGAGAGCAAAAGTTCTCTTATTTGGGCTTTGCCATCAATTAGCTATGTGATCTGAGATTTCTTGTTTTACCTCTCTGGGATTCAGATAGCACTTCTGGTGAAAAAGACGGTTGGACAACATCGAGGGCCATCAAACTTCTCTAAGTGTCAGAATCACCAGTCACCTGTCAAATGTGATTTAAATGTGGCTTCCTGGCCTACCCCTCAGAGAATCTGACTCAGTAAAAGCAGAATGATGCCAGAAATCTACATGTTCATCAGCCTGCCGGATAATATTAAAAAAGGTGTTCCACAATTCAGGCTTTGAGGATCACTGGCCAGAGGATCTCTCAGCTCCCTAAGATTTCAGTAATCTGAATGCCAGGATTTAAAATACTGCAAGGCTTAGATCTTCTACAACCACATGGTAGAATGAGATGATGAGGTTTCTCTCTGAATCTTGCTCTTTAAATCACCACCACCACCAGCAGTTGCTATTGGTTCAACACCAACTCATCAAGCCCATGTGTGTCAGAGTAGAACTGTGCTCCATAGAGTTTTCACTGGCTGATTTCTGATAAGTAGATCTCCAGACTTTTCTTCCAAGGTGCCTGTGGATGGGCTCAAACCCCCAATCTTTTGGTTAGTGACAGATCATGTTACCACCTTGGGACTTCTTCAAGTCACCGAGCCTTCTTCATTTTCTTCCTACCCAACACTCTCATTCACACTGTCCCTACCTCTTCCCTCCTTTCATTCCACATCCTGCTGAGCCATTTGTCCTCCTGGTATTTCAGGTCCCTTACACATAGAAAGTGAGATTTCTTACTACCTTGATGCTATCAGTGTTTGCTCCTATCCTTGCCTTGAATACCTTCTGATGGCCATATCATGGTCTCCTAGAAACTTCCCAATGTGCTGCCCCTAGGCCAACCCCATCTACATCTGTCTTTCCTGGAAACCCAACCTTATCAGGTGAAGATTATGAAGTCCAGGCTGGAAGGACTGTCTTGGATTTGGAATGGACTCTGAGAGATACCCAAGAGCTTTATAAGTTGTTGTTAAGTGCCATCAAGTCAGTTCCAATGCATAGTGACCCTGTATAGGGTTACCAAGGAGATGGTGGTGGTGGTTATGTGCCGTGGAGTTGGTTCCGACTCATAGCAACCCTTGTACAGGGTTTCTGAGGCTTTAAATCTTTACAGGAGCAGAAAACCTCATCTTTCTCCTGCGTAACAGCTGGTAGTTTTTTAACTGCTGACCTTAAGGTCAGCAGCCCAACTCATAACCACTGCACTGCCAGAACCTTGAGAAGATGATGGTGGTGGTGGCTATGTGCCGTGGAGTCGGTTCCAACTCATAGCGACCCTGTACAGGGTTTCTGAGGCTGTAAACCTTTGTGGGAGCAGAACACCTCATCTTTCTCCCACAGAACAGCTGGTAGTTTCAAACGGAAGCCCGATTCATAACCACTACGCTACCAGATAGTGGGTTTGATTTACCAACCTTTTGGTTAGCTATCCAGTGCCGATCCTACAGCACCACACCAGGAGTCCAGAGACGGTGCTTAATTAATGCTTTCTTAATCATTAGGCTCTTAATAATTAGTCCTGGTGTACTGCTGTGGGATAAAGTACTGGACTGCAAGGTCGGTTTGAACCACAAGGTCAGAGATTCAAATTCACTAGCCACTCCTCAGAAACCCTAGACAGGGTCTCTATAAGTCGGTACCGAGGACGGCACTTAACAACAACAATATTTAGTTCAGGAAATGCATCCCAGCAAAGTGGAGAGATTTCTCCTTCCTAAGGAGCTCTGGTAGCGTAGTGGTTACGAATCGGACTGCGAACCTTAAGGTCAGCAATTTACAGCCTCGGAAACCCTGTACAGGGTCACTATGAGTCGGAACCGACTCCAGAGCACATAACAACAACAACAACAACAATTTCAAATAGCACGCAAATAAAACCAAACAAAAGTAGTGTGATGTAGAACAATAATTCCTTTGAATTCTGAAAAAGGCTCTAAATTCTAAAATTTCTGTGAAAGGCTTTTCACTCATAAAAGGAGACAGCAAAGCTGGAGAGATGGTGTTCAGCAAACAGAGAGAGTGCAGGTTGAAGTAACTTCCCATTGGAAATAGACTTCCAGGTGCCTGGAAGGCATGAGATTTCCATAGCTGTGTTTATTTTCTCTGTGGGAGAGAAGGGTTAGGATTCCTCCTAGGAAGGTGAGGAAGTATCCATGGCCCTCACAGGACCCTGCTTAGGGCCCCATTTGTTTTCTTTCCACCCTTATTTTTGTTTTCTGGAGTATGACCAGGCTGCCTGCAGAGCTGGGCCTCTTGTCTCCTGCTGGGTCCTCCCCACCTATAACAACCACCCTCCCTCCTCCCCACCCTTCTTTTGTGGCCTCAGATCAAGTTGGGCCAGGGACCAGTGCTCACTTACTGGGCAGAAGGGATGGGCTCCATCAAACAAGGACCTCTTTATTTGGCCCCTGGAATCAAGCCAGGAAATAATTGGAATATAATATAGCAGCATTTCTACTCTATGGGCCATGGAAAAGATATCCAAGAGAGTCTTCAGCAGTACAGCATTATAATGATGCTCTGCTCCCATCCACCTGGCCAGGGTCTCAAGAAGTGACTGGAGTATTCAGGGATGTGTAGTACAGTGGGATTGGGGTAGGGGGACACAAAATCCTGAGCAGCCGACTGGTAGCTTGGTTTAGTGAGGTGTTTAGAAAACACTGGAACCTTGCCTTGCTCCAGAACTTCCATCCAATCTTTTAAAATGCTGAATGGCACCCGGAAGCCATTATTGAACTAACTGCTTTCCCCTCCAAATAAATGAAGGTCAATTTCAAAGGAACAGTTGTGTTCTCTATAGTACTGGAACCAAATAGGAGTCCTTCTCTCCATTGATTTCTTTCTCTCATTCAGACTGTGGCTGATGAGGCTCCACCTCCCAGAAGAATAAAATGAGGGAGAGGAAGGACCTCAAAGGTGACTCAAGACAATCACCCCCAC